ACAGTCAGAAATGAAGAATCCAGGTAAGCGGTAATTTGCCCCAGGTACGACAGTCAGAAATGAAGAATCCAGGTAAGCGGTAATTTGCCCCAGGTACGCCCATCTTGGGGGGGAAGTTGTGCAGTAGGCTGGCAGGTACTTGGCTGGGCAGTTGCGTGTCTTGTTTCGTTTCTTTTTCCCTCCCTTTTTGGGTTCGATTGCTTGTGCATTCTTTTGGCAGCGAGCAGGAACCGGCTGGAGATCTGTCCAGTGTCCAGATAAAACGTTTCCCACCTGCTGGAAAGCTGACTGGGTCCGTGTCGCAATAAACACTCAGCCCATGTGGCTGAATGGTGCGCCCATGTAACTGTTGATCAACATATCATGAGTTCGAATTCTGATGGAATCAGATAAAATGCATACAATAACGATAGAGGCTACACCTTTGTAAAACAAAAAGTAATGATAAGAAAGTACATGAAGTACAATAGAAGTTGGAAACGGAGATCCAGTGGCCTAGCTCAGTTGGTAAGGCTCACCAGTGGCATTCAGGAGGTCTTTGGGTTCAATCCCCATTGGCCTCATGTACCTTCCTGGGTTTGCTTTGCGCCTGCCAGCTGGAGATAGAGCACTGCATCCCCCGATAAGCATTAAGCAGAGACTGCTGATGTTCGTAGGGGAGGGGACGCAGAGGGGAGGCACCGGGATTGGTCTCTAAGCGTGGTCCCTGATGCCAGCGGCTGTCCGTATCGCCCACCTGCATTAGTCGGGTGCAGCCCCTGCAGTTCCTTCGTTTGAGGCATTGTGAACTCAGGCTGGCTGCTACGGGGTTCCCCGTAATACTATAATTAGGGGTAGTGGTAGGTAGGTAGTGTAAGGTGGAATTGAGAGAAAGCTGTCCAGTTGATGTGGGTCAGTGGTTAGAGCACCGGCTGGAAATGCGCATTGTGGTATGAGGTTGCGGGTTCAAAACTCAATTGCAACCTTGCGCATGGACACCGGCAGGGCGTTAGATTGACGCACGGCTGGACACACTCCCTTGGGCTGACGCATGGTACTATTACAGACACTGCCTGCGCACCACCCAAGGGTTGTTCATGGTGTTGCATGTTGGTTCTGGGTTTCACATGGGTTGCTTGGGGGTGTTGGTCTTGGGTGCTCTGTTGATCTCCCCAGTCTGGCATATCACACGTTCGTGCCATTTCCACTAGCTGTTCACATGGTAGAGTCATACGATTACATGTTTCAAGGTCACGGGTTCGAGCTTGGTTCGGATCTTGGGGGGGTCCTTGTCCAGCTTACCCCGTTCTCTCTTCGATATACACACATGATGCTGCCTATACATCTCAATACATTGATTCACGGAGCACACACAGCCTTCGTGCATATACATAGCTTGCGAATTATACATGGCCTACGGGCTACATCCACAAGTTCCACACATAATGCTGTACATCTTCATACATAGATACACGAAGCATACACAGCCTTCGGGTATACACATACATCGCGAACTACACACCTATCAGACTGGGGGGGTCCAGTCAACTGGGTGGGGTCTAGTATCTGCAGTAGGGACAGGTATGGGCCACCGGAGTTCCTACTGATATTCGGGTAGAACTGTCTATTGGCTATATATAAGGCTTAGACCCTGGGGTAAGGGTAGGGGTATAAGTTGCTCAGGCCAGTCCGAGTTCCGCCTGGCCGTGGGTAAGCTAGGGGAAGGACGGTAAGACTGCTTCGGTGGGTGCTACCCTGTCTGAAACTTAGGGCCCAGAGTCTCTTGGGGCCTGTAGTAGATTGTCTGGGCCTGGCGTCCGAAGTTCCCGTTCGACAAGGCTCGTCCGATTCCATTTCCACCAGGACTGGGCCACCTATCAGCCCTGGTGCCTATCACTGCTGTTCGGTCCAAGTTACCTGCCCATTGGTAGGATAATGGTCCTGAGTGCTGGTGTGGCATACTGCGTAGCCACACGGGCCCTGCAGGGCCCGTCCCGGACATTCAGCCTAAAAGCCTAAAACTTAGGGCTTACAGGCCCCGGTCGTTTCAGCCTAAAAGCTGAAAAACGAGGGCCTGCAGGCCCTACTCCGTTTCAGCCTATTTCTGGGTCTTTCAGACCCAGAGTTTTTCCAGCCTGAAACGGAGGGCCATTTTCAGGCCCTCATTGTTTCAACCGCGCCTAAGACTCAGGCACGGAAACAGGTTTTCAGGAACAGGCCAGAAATAGCCTGTTCCCACGACCTTGAGCAGGAGCTGCAGCGGCAGCCCCTGCCTCCGATCGGCATTGGCAAGAGCAGCCGCCTGGACTGCTCGCCTGCAGTCAAGAGGCACCCGTGGAAGTACATAGGATTGTCCTAGGCACTTCACGGGTAGGTAGTTGGAGTAGACATGAGTAGTCTTCAGGATTCGGCCGCAGCACTCAGGAGGAGCGCTGCAGTAGTCTTCAGCGCTAGGCAGTAGTTAGCGCTAGTAGTAGTCTTCGGCGCTGGGTGCCCATAGCCTTAGTGGTAGTCTTCAGCGCTGGGCGCTATGGTAGGTGGTAGATAGTAGAGTTGGGAGAGACACTGGCGGAGGCCAGTGGTACTTACCTGTGGCGCCATCGCTCCAGCTCCATCTGCGAGGTACCT